ATCAATAAAATCTACACAAAATTCTCTATCTTTTAGCATCAGAACCAAACCTTCTGGTCGAGTCTAATTTGAGAAAAAAGCCTATCAAAAACCGGCAATTTCCTCTGCCGTACCCGTTAGTTAGATAGAGAAATGTTTTGAGATCAACAATATCATCTTAGTTCAACTCTCGCTCATTCTTGAAGGAAAAAACTCGAACTGCGGCAACATAGTTATTTGTAAAATGCGTGATTCCGTAACAATGATACTTTACCAATTTAAGGGTTAATTTCGGACCTGTAAAAATAATTTTTTTCAATCGATAACCCATGAACTTTTCTACAACATTTTCACATAAAGAATAGAGATTAGGTGAGTTTTCGACAACTTTAAATTGTTTCGGAGTGGCTATTCCATTTTTGGTGATTCCGTGACGGTTGATATTTTTCTTATAAAATTTGAGCCATATAGTCCAACTTAACAGAAATTTTAGAGACTGTCGAGCATGTTATGAGACAGATTTGGTAAGAATTTGAGCATTTTCTTCGTTTAAACTGACTGAGAAATTAATTATAGTCAGAAATGGAAAAAACGTGAGTCCATTACGATTATGTTAGTCGATAAGAGTTTTTTATGTTAGTTTTCTCCTCTCAGTATGAAACGCGCTACGTTAAGCCCTCCCCACTCAGAAATCTACTTTCGTCCAGGAATATTCAACTTCGATGAAAATTTTAGACAATGTGTACCTTTAGGTACTTAGTCATTCTGCTAACTGCACCCTCTTATCAGTTATTTCCCCAGAGTTATTCTTAAATTAGTTGTGAAAAAGTATGATTTCGTACTTCCAAGATTCCGCCGCCATTTTTTCAGCTAGAAATTTCGAATTGGTTCCAAAAAATAGAGAAATGTTTTTTTCTATGTCGTGACGTCGTTGGATTTTTCAATTCAAGTTTAGTTTAGGAGGAATTTAAAAAGTTTCTGACAAGTTAGAGAGATTTTATTTAGAAAAAGCATTTGTTTTGAAAAAGCAATGTTTTAAAACCAATCCGAAATTTCTAGCTTGAAAAATGACCGAGATATCTTGGAAGTGTGAAACGCTATAGTCATAAAAAGAGATTTGTACACATTTTATTGTATTAATTTTATACGAATTTTATTTTATTTTGTGTTATGCTATACTGAAGAAGATTGCACGTTGTAATCGAAACGTCTAAGTGTTGCTTGTAATAAATTTTCGAAAACAAAGTATATATTATAGGAAAAAACGAAAAATATACGTAGATAATATTTGAGTTAATGATTGAAAATGAAATTCGAAAAGTGGATTCTGTTTATATTTGTATATTCGAATTCAGGTGATACAATGTTATTCTCGTTTTACAACTGATATATTTTCAATGTTGGGAATACAGCTTGTGGAAATCCAGGTACAAGCACTACACTCCAGCAAGGACGTCGTTTCTTCAGCTCCGAGGCAAGAGAAAAAATTATTGAATTACTTCCAAATTCACATCAGGAAAACTTTACAACTCTCATGAAACTTTATTCGGTTATACTCAGAGCAGTGTCGTCTACGCAGATAATTCATTTAACAAATCTTCGGAAAGCTACAACGGCTTTCACTCTGTTTCTAACAGCGGAATTTCCTTTTGTCGGATATAATTTAACTGTCCACAACTTGATTTTTCATAGTTGTGAATTAATTGAACGAAACAATAGTATTGGTTAAGGAGAACTATCCGAGGAGAGCTTGGAATCGGCGAAGAAAGATGTTCGAAATTTTCGTGAGCATCTTACCAATAAATGTGACCATCTCTCGAATCTTTCCAATATTTTCACCCGATTATTCCTTCGATTGGATCCACTGATTCGATACGAGATAGTGAATTCTATACGAACGTGGAAAAAAGACGAGACAAGTGGAATTTCTACCTGCCTTAAAAAGGATGACACTTTACTAAACATGTTATTTTCGGCTAACATTCCCACGAAGATCAAAAACTTTTGTAATATCTGAGTGAGATTTTACATGGATTGTTTCGTGACTTTTTAGGTTGATCAGTCAACTTCCTGATATTTGCAGGTCGTATTCGGAATCAACCCGTAAAATAACCTTTTGTACAGTTTTTTTTCAGCATCGTGAAGGAAACAGCTTGAATTTTGAGGGAAGAAGATTAAGTTCTTGTAGAGAAGCATCGGACTCTTGATTTAAAAAGATGGGGTTCCAGGATTTTGAGGAAATAAGATAGAGTTCTTGGGTAGAAAGAAGGAAAAAAATACATTTTTTCTGGAGAAACGTCTGGATTTTCACGGGAAAAGATCGGGCTCTTGTAGAGAAACATAAGAATTTTAAGAAAAAGAGATAAGGTTCTCGTGAAAAAACATCTAGATGTTGAGGAAAAAAGATGAAGTTCTTGGGTGGAAACGTGGAAAAAAATGGGGTTTTACTGGAGAAACATCTGGCGTCGAAAAAATGGGTTCTTTGCAATATTTTGTCCATTGGCAAAATATCGTAAAGAACTCATTTTTTTCGAGTTTTCGAGAAGAGTATACTTTGAAATGTGAATAACTCCGTCAAAATAGCTTCGAGCTCGCTCAAAATATTTTCGTAAGACTAGTTTTGTGTGTAGAATCCGAATACGTAAGAAAAAAAGTATAGTTTAAGGGGGCGTACCCGCTTCAGATATTTTTGTTAAAATCTGTAACTCCGTAACGGCGGTTCGAAAAATCGTGAAACTTAGGTTTCATACCCTTCTCGGTGAGCTTTACAATATATCCAAAAATCAGGGGGTATACCCCCTTTAATTTTGACGATTAAACCACTCTGTGCTCAAAATGCTCGATCGACCCAGTAGTGCTTTCTCGAAACTAAAGAAACCTACCAGACTTTTGCAATCTTCTCGAAATCAAAATGTGGAGGCGGATGGTTTCTTCCTTAATGTAAATACAATTATAGCGTTAGAGGAATAATACACTCAAAAAATTCGTTCAAAGATATATTACTAAAAAACGATACAGAACGAAGTTTGTTTAAGGCTGCTTAAAGTGGTGATATAACTTTCGTCCTTGACGAAATACTGTTGACATATTACTCAAATCTTGTTTCGCACAGTTCACCGTATGGGATTTCCAGTCGCCTTCAGGTCCTTGAAAAGTATTATTTGCAACTTGTAAGTAGGAAGCATTTTGTGTAACATTTTCAAGGTGAACTGTTGTAATATTAATATTCTTTTCAATCTGTTGTACAAGGAAGAGTGCATCTGGGAGTAGAAGAACTTCTGCCTCATTTTCATAGTCTGAAATACATGGAAGTTGATCGGAAAGTTTTCCTAAATTGATTGCTTGATCACATGCCGTTGGAAAGTTAAATATCATCAAGATGCTTCGCTTATCATCAACTGTTGTAACTGCGGTGGAACTAATTCCTGCAAATCTCTCAGCAACAGAACGATCCAATGAAGTTGAACAGAATGTTTTTGTTTGAATAGCACCTTTCTTTTTCCATGCCCAACGATAGGCACGTAAATCTTCATCAGTAGCTTTCACACCACGATACGAAACACCTTGAAAATAGCGTGGTTTCAGTTTATCTAACCACCGTAAAAGAGGTGCACCAAGAGGAACTGCATTATCAGCTAGTGCACGATATAATGGTGTCTCTAGAGTATATAATCGTAGGAGATGTTCTGGTTTATGTGCTCGACACCCTTCTCTGGCTAATGCAATACATTTTTGAAACTGAGGATGATGTTCGGTAACATGTTTGGAGAGCATCGTATTAATAGGGCCAAAGACGTCCGTTACTTTTGGGTCGTGAACTTTTCCTAATCCGTACATCCATAATTTCATTGCTGGTGATTGCATGATGGCTTTGTTAGACCTAGCTTTTCTTCTTACATTTGCAACTTCATTTGAAGTAGCGTGACCCTTCAACCATTTATCACCTGAAAAGTCCTCATCGTCATCGTCAACCTCGCCATCCTCTGTTTCTTCGGTTCTCGTTACTTCAAATATGTCTTCTATACCACTTTGATTATCGTCGCAAAAACGATTTCTGTCATCCGGTCGATGAAACAACTGACGTATTTCATCAGAAACTGCTTCTTCATAAGCTGTTAGTCCTTGCGGATTCACAAGGTCACGTCGACATCCGCATTCTTGGAGGAGAAGACGGACGATGTTAGAATGGCCAGCTGAGACTGCAGCATGCAGTGGTGTACTCCCATTTGGTTCAAGACGGTTAAGATCTTGATAGGAAATTGTAGGCAGAAGTTCTCTGACTTTGTCGATCTCTCCATTCAAGCAGGCGAGGTAGAATTCACTTGGTTCAGTTTGTGCTTGCGGATTTTGGGCAAGATGTTTTTGTGTACTGCAAATACCACTGGCTCCACTTCCCATGTTGAATCTTTCTCTCTACGGTAGAAAAAAAAACTTACTCGCCCTCCTTCAGAATATTCTGCACCTCTGAGAAGAAATATTAACTTAATATATTAACTTACTTTCGACTCTTGTTGTTTTTCAATTGAAGGAATTCGTTCTGCTAATGGATTTTGAAGTGCGGAGAAAAGATCAGTGTTGTTTTTACACTGTTTTCTTTTGTCATTTCTTTTGTTTCTGCGTTAACAGAGCGTTACTCTTGCCAACTTTGTTTAACGCTCTTTGTACATTATAATTTTTTTAGTGAGAGAAATAATGATTTTGGAGTTGATTCATGCTATCAAAAATTTTGAAGTTCACGAAATGCCGTTTACGTAAATCGACCATTCCTTTAGTAGTGATATTAAGCAAAAAAGAGGCCTGCATTTTTTTAGCACATTTTGGAACTGAGTAACTTTGCAGCAAAAATGATCTGTCTTTGGACGGATCACTGAACAGGTTGAGCAAATCGGGAAACGAAAAGTGCTTCCGCTGTTGACTATGACCCGGTTTGTTTGATCAACAATTTTGGGCAAAAAAACAGCTTGAACTGTTTTAAAAACTCCTCCTTTCGGTTTTCTATCACGTGCTATAATTTTTTTTACAAACTATCTCGGTATGGAACGATTGGGTGGTCGTATGTTCAACACACACAATTCACCTCATGTTACCTTCTGTGAAGGAATGGATAAATTTGGGTCTCATTTTCATCGTTTTTGGAAGCAGCATTTTGCAGAGACGCCCTTAGGAACTGTTGTTCCTATCGTAGGTGTCCGCAATGCTCCCAATTTACAACAAAGACTAGTTAAGAAGAAGCCGGCATCAGACCTCATTCGATAGAGTAAGATGCCCTCATGTTGTTTTTAAATAACTAGCTCTTTTTCATTTTGGTTTATTTCATATCTGGTTTCCCAATGCGTCTTACTGCCAATGGCTGCGGTGGACCGGGAGATGACCCCTTCTACGGAAGGAGAAAATTGAGAATTCCACCCACACGGATGTGAGTTCACCAGAAATTCTGAGCGTTTCGCCGTAAAGTGGCAGGACCAGTTCGCTAACATTCAGCGTGTGAGTCCTTCCCGACGGTTTGCTCACATTCACTGTGCGAGTCCTTCTCGACCTTGAGTGTGACGAATCAGTTGCTCAACTCTGACCCGAGTGTCGATGACGAAAGTGACAGTGATTGACCGTATGCGTGGTTCGCTATCTTTCCGTGTCACTCGGACAGATAGAACGGCATTAGCAGTCAAGAGAAATTATTCACAAATGATGTCTACTTATATCAGGACTACACTAAAATATAACTACTTCAACAATTCAGTGTTCAATACAAACTATAAATAGTTATTTTCTTTTTCGTTCTGTTCTGTTAACATATGAAAAATTTTCTCTTATTTCTCCTATTTTCACCCCAATGGTAAAGCGAGCGATTTGCTATGAAAAAGGTGTGGTTGATCTTCTTATTGCAGAATAGATTCGTAACTCGTGAAGTCAATAGAAAGAAAAAGAAGCGGTTGATCTTTTTTTGAATTTTCATATCAATGATTAGATTTGTATTCCTCTCAGTCTCTATAAAGTTTCATTTCAATTAGATAGACAAAGTTTTAGACAAATATCAACATTGAAAATAAATCAATTGTAAAACGAGAATAACATTGTACCCACTGAATTCGGATATACAAATATAAACAGAATCCACTTAGATTATTAGAGAAGTCTAATTGTTTATTAGAAAATGCCTTGGAGCCCTAATTCGCCAGAATATTGCCACCTAGGCAAACGTTTTTTGTAAGTTAACGTATCTATAAAGCCACTGAACGCGTTTCAACTAGTTAGTTAAAGAAAAACTCGTCCAACTGCACCAAAATTTCACGCAGAATAACGCGTTTGTGAAACAGTGAACCTTAGAAAGATGGCAAGTTTTGACGGGTTTAAATGCGTTTACATTTAACATGTTTAGTAGGACAATTTTACAATAAATTGACGCGTTCGGAAGAGTTAACTTGTGTTACGTTTAAACGCGTTAGAAGCGAACGCATCGAACCACTGAGGCTATGGGGAAGGTAAAACAGGTTTGACACAAGACTGGGATTTCTGTTCTTCTGCTCTTTTTGCTCTTTTACCGCCTAAAAAGCTAATAAACGAAGACAATTAAGACAAATTTCTAACAGATCTTCGGTAAATAAACAAATTCAACCTGCTTTCTTCTCTTTAAATGACTATGGAGGAGAAGTGAATAAACAAACAAACAAACGTTGTGTGTCGCTCATGACAAAGTTCATGAAAAGGGCTTTAAGCTTATAAAAATGCGCGGTCTAACAGATTAAGAAGCAAATGCCATCGCTTTTAGGCTGATTAGAAATGAACGCATTACACTGTTGTGATGCAATTCGGCCAAAACTGGTACGGCGAAACGCATTAAAAATTATTTTCTGAATACTTGACAAGTAAATGTATGTTAGAAAGTCCATAAGTACTATCCTCATAACTGGTACGAGTCATTTATCAGAGAGGTACTATCAGCTTCGATTTCAAAATTTGTTTCACATATTTGTCTCCAAGGAGACGCGCGTACGCATCTCCTGCGTAATAAACTTATAGATTTGCTTGAAGGCTGATCGAAAGAGGCCTGAACTGGTTTTTCATGCAGTTGTTACATGGAGGTTACGCAAGTTCTCCTCGATACAATCTCGATTGGCCATCTTACAGTCATGGATAACACACATAGTGCTAGATACACAATACTTCAAATGGAGTCTCTTCAAATAGAAAACTCTAATTGAGCGAAAATCATTGCGAACATAAATTGCACAACCTCCTGTTATGTCAAAAATCACTAATACTATCTTGTCACTATTTCAACTTTAACTTTATAACAATTACTAATAAAATATATTCCGACAACAAACCCTTATATACAATTTCTAAGTATTGAAGAATAATCCAGAATCAGGACTAATCCAGCCTAAGAGAAACCAGAAAAAATGTCAGGAAAGTTCTCGACATAGTGGGACATCTGTCAAAGAAAAGAGTGACACGTAGAAGAACGATTACACTTATGTATACATAACACCTCCACCGTGGCTAGTGCGGTTCAAATGATGTGGAACAGAATAATTGAAGTTGGAAATTTGGTGGTTAGAGATAGCAGTATCTCTAACCATATTTTCACAAAACAGAGAAGAATTAACTAAGCAATAGAAGCGTACGCTCTTACCGTGGCCGATCAGCCTCTCATTCGCTCTGCATTATCGCAAAATCAACTTTCTACACGATGAACAGAATCGGTCCAAATTTTTTTCTGAATAGCTTATTAAATGAATGTACGAGCAGCAAAGTATCTCTTTATTCAAATCACTTTTCGCATTTTGGCGCGAACAGTGGATCGCGCTACTGTTCGCGCCAAAATGCGAAAAGTGATTTGATTCAATAAGTTATTCAGAAAAAAATTTGGACTGATTCTGTTCAGCATATAGAAAGTTGATTTTGCGATAATGCTATGGTCTTTTGAAATATAGTAATTCTATATTGGAATTTTCAATTAATTTAAAACATCTATAAAGCAGCCTATTTTCTCGCCCGTGAAATTCTCTATCAGCTGAGGTATTTCCCGACTTTTTAGTCGAAAATTTGAGGAAGTTTTTTATCAATTACTTTTTACGATTTTCTTTTAAGAAAGCGAAAACTAGTGTCTAGTGACAGTCTCGCCAAAAATATTTCGCTCGAGAGAAGTGCTTGGGAGTCAAAAGGGTAGTACAAAAGTAATTTAGAATCGAGTTTTCTGGATTATGAGCAATGAATTTTTGAAAAAAGGACGGAAGACGGTTTCTACAAGAAAATGGCCCTATATATTTTTGAAAGACAACTACTGAAACTGGTCAAATACTTGTTTCACAAAAAAGCGAAAGTCAGCAGAAAGTGCGTTTGGGGCTTCTGGTAAATTTATAGCAGTTTCACGAAAAGAAGCCCTGAAGAGGTGGCAGACATCGTATTTTGTTCAGAAATATTTGCTCTACACGATAGAGTTATTTGTAAAGAATTTCTCGCACGCATTTAGGGATCTGATTTTATGAGATTTTGATTTTCGAGACATCATTGTTTCGAAAGTTTCGATCTTTTCGAAAAATCTAATGTATTTCAATTTGAAACCAATTAAAATTCTATCTCTGCGAGAAACTATGATCATTTTTGTGTACAGGAAAAAATCAAGATATCTATCGAGTATTTGTCCAATACACCTATGTAGACAAACTTTTAAAACAACGTTTATTAGCGCATTTTGCAGCCTTCTGAATTCTGAACTTTTATGTGGGTAAATCATTCCCGGTCTGAGTGCGCTGACAAAACCATATACATTACTATATTCAATGAGGGTTACATATATGGGGTGCAAACAGTCATAAATAATGCTTGACCAATAACTCTATGAAGACATTAGTTGGAAAAGATGCTTCATGAATCGTTTTAAAGCCTGTTTAATTGCGCATTTTTCATACATAATATTGTATTAAGAACCACAGATAGGAGTCTTTAAAGCCTTTACCAGATAAAAAATATCACCGATGAAATATCAGTGTTATATTCTCACATAGTGTAGCTGTTTTAAACTCGTAAGGAGTTTAAATGAACGTTATTCGTTACGAGTTCAAATGAGTTTTATATTGTCACGTAATTTACACGTAATAGCAGCCATCTCGGCATTCATTGAGTAGATACCAGGGAAAGTAGGGTTCATCAGACATAAGACTGGAAAGGTAAAGACGGCTACTAAGATCTCACTTTTGCCAATCGTATACAGAGAAAACAAAAATAAGGCAGTGAGTTTTGCATGATTTTCATAAATGAGCATCAAATGTGTTCATCGGGGTGTGCGCCAGGAGGAGCGGGGTGGCTGATGAGGTCTAGTGGATATAAACATCACAGAACCAAGTCCTTAGAATCCGGCGTAGTTTATAGACGTTTCGGTCTAAAAACTAAGACAT